GTATACTTTTCTTGTTTTTGAAAAAACAATCTATTTTATTATCTCATATACTTGAAACTTTCACAAATTCATAAAATCTTTAAGTTGCATGGATACTATCTCAGTGTAATACAATGTAGAATTGGAGTAATCATCTGACAAAATGTAAGTAGATCTAGGCTTTGCCTGTTTTGTTTTATCCTCACCCAAGAACATTTTTTCCCCATTGGTTTTTTTAGAGAGTGTGGAAGGGATGGGGCGGGGGGAGAGAGATTGGTTGCCCTCCCACTAGAGCCCCAACTGGGGCCCCAGATCAAACCTGCAACCCATGTACATGTCCTTGACTGGGAATCGGGAATCAAACGTGTGGGCAGATGCTCTAACCATTGAACAAAACCGGACAAGGCTGTTTTTTGTTTGTTTGTTTTTTAGTGAGCCTTTTTATTGTTTTCAGGCTTTGCTTTTTAGATCTGTGGGAATTTCAAAGAACCTTTATCAGATCTGTAGCTGCTGCTTAGCAATGTGTCCAATTCTGCTCAGTGAAAATGCATTTAAAATATAGAATACAGAGAAGCTTCAAAAAGCTTCTAGTAACCTACTGTTATCTTCCTTATGAATTTAAATATTTTCTTGATAATTTTGTTCATTTTCTTATAGCAAAACTCAATTTTCTATCTTTTGTAACTTGATTTTTTTTTTAATGTCCCTTCAGAGAAAGGGGGAGAGGGAGATAGAAACATCAGTGATAAGAGTCATTGATCAGCTGCCTCCTGCACGACCCCTGCTGGGGATGGAGTCCACACCCAGGGCATGAGCCCTGACAGGAATCGAACCTCAATCTCCTGGATCATAGGTTGATGCTCAACCTCTGAGCCACGCTGGCCAGGCATAACCTGATTCTTAATAGAAACTTTTATGGGCTATTGGGTTGATTTAATTTGTATTTGCTTGTCCCAGAAAAATTCAAAGGCTTCAGAACAGCATTTGTTAAGAGATAGCTATTCCAATACATTTTTAAAAATATGCTTATTGGGGACCTCACTCGCAGTTCTGGCTTTCAGCTCCCTTCATGGATTGCAATCTCTCTCCTACACTTTGAAATCTAGATGAAGAGCACACTTTATACACATACGGATGCTCTGCCACAAGATCAGAATCAGTGCACTGACTGTACTTTTTACTCTTTTGGTGGTCATGGTACCCTTGAGTGCTTGGTCCTCAGACTTGGTTCATCCTTCCTATAATGGTGTTCATTTGTTTCCTAGACCTTTGGCCTACACTGTAACCAAGGTAAAATTTAGGCTTCTACCTTTATTTCATGTATGTCTTCAGTTTACATTAGACATTGACATGTCCTTGGCTCTGCCTTGGTTCAAACTTCCGGTTCTACCAACCTGATCCTAAATGATCCTATGACTTACTGTGATAATCCCACTACTCCTTCAAAGACCAAGAATATTATTCTACCTTTGTGTGTTTAAAATTATTATGATTTTACCTGCTAGCAATAAGTAGATATTTGTTAGTTTCAATAAACTCTATGAAACTCAAAACCAAAGTTATACTCAGCATCTATTATTGTCTCTCTCTTTTTTTACCTGCACCCAAGGATATTTTTTCCATTGCTTTTCAGAGAGTGGAAGGAAGAGATAGAGAAACATCAGTGTGAGAGAGACACATCGATTGGTTGCCTCCCACACATGCTCCAACCAGGGCGTGGGATTGAGCCTGCAAAGCCTGCAACTGAGGTATATGCCTTTGGCTGCAAATGAACCCAGGTCCCTTTAGTCCTCAGGCTGATGCTCTAACCACTGGGTCAAACTGGCTAGGGCCTATTATTGTCTCTTGATATTCCATTAAATGGTATAAAAATTCAAGGAGAGTCATAATTACTAAAGGTATAAGCAAATGTCATACAAGAAAAAAAATGCAAGTGACTTAATGCTAGAGTTAATAATTTTTTTCCTGGAAGGAAATTAATTAGAAAAATAAAAAACCGAAGAATCTTCCATGCTGTATTTAAAGCCACTTCATAAATAGGTCTACTAAGTTTCAGTCTGCAAAGCCAAGAAAGTTCTGGAGACGGATGCTGGTGATGGTTGCACAATGCTAGTATACTTAATGCCACTAAACTGTACATTTACAAATGGCTAAAATGGTAAATTTTGTGTTATGTATATTTTACCACTAAAAAAAGTATTCTAATACATTACTTTTATTTAAGATTTATATTAAAACACACTCCTTCATTTTAAGCTAAGTGACACTCTCATTTCTTAAAATATTCATGTTAACTGGTGGCTTCTGGTCAAACTGATGAAACAGGTAAACACGGTACCAGAATGCTCCCCTAACCACATCAAAATTACAACTAGTCCTGGGCGGTTTGGCTCTGTGGCTAGGGCACTGGTCTGAGGACTGAAGGGTCACAGGTTCGATTCCTGGTTAAGGGCACGTACCTCAGTTACAGGCTCCATCCCCACCCCAGGCAGGGTGTTGTGCTGGAGGCAACCAATCGATATGTCTCTCTCATGTCAATGTTTCTCTCTCTTTTTCTCCTCCCTCCCTTCCAATCTCTCTAAAAATCAATGAAAAAATATCCTCAGGTGAGGATTTAAAGAAACAAACAAACGAACGAACCACTATCATGCGACCTGCAACAGCATGAATGGGCCTAAAGGGCATTGTGCTGAATAAAATAAGACAGAGAAAGACAAATGCCATTTCACTTACATGTGGAATCTAAAAAACAAAATAAATGCACAATCACGACAGGAATAGACTCATTGATACAGAGAACATTTTGACAGTTGCCAGATGGGAGGGGGAAGGGGGTATAGGTGAAAAGGTGAAGGGATTAAGAACAAAATGGAAATGTAAAGTACGGCATATGGAATATAGTCAATAATACTGTAATAACTATGTATGGTGTCAGATGGGGACTAGATTTAATGGGGTGATCACTTCTTCATAAGTTATATAAATGTCTAATCAATGGGACGGACACCTGAAACTAATATAATATTGTATGTCAACTGTAATTGAAAAATAAAAAAATATTTAAAAATATTCATATTAATAAACATTGTTCAGAAACTCAGGTAGTTCTCTAAATTTCTTAACAAACTGCTTGAACTCTGACTACAGGTTCTGCTGGAGAAAGGCAGTGGAAGTGCTTTTAAAAAAAGTAAAAATGTATTTTTTAGCCAGTGAAACTGGGTCTTCCTGTTTACAAAATTATCTTCCAAAACATCCTTTAAACTTTTTCTGATTTTGAAAAATGTAGTTTCATTTTATGCCTCTAAAACTGGCGTTTTAGACTACCAATGGCTCCCAACAACTGAAATCTTGATGGTATGGATTTTTTAACATATGTGCAATTGCCAGAACCAGGCAGTAGATGGCATTTTTGTAGGCACTCAGGACTTTTGTAATGAAAGACCTTGAATTTAGGAATGTAGGAAAAAACCCACACACAAACAAGTGGAAATTGGCACAGTTTAGTAAACAATGGGATAATGATGAATAAAACTGGCAATACAGGATTTAAATGAAGTGCCAGGAGACTCAGCACATTTTCAAAATTCCTATCTTGAATCTTGTATGTATGTGAAAATATGAAGCTAAGTCTCTGGTTTTCTCTCCTTTCCAGGCTAAAGCCTTACTATCAGATATCCAAGTTAATTTTAATTTGGTATCGTATCTAAAACGATCCCCCCAAATGTGTAATAATAATAATACCCAAACCTATTGATTGACTCTAACATGGCATAGAGAATTCCAGGAAGAAGTCAGGGTTGGAAGTCTAAAATTGGGAGTCATTAGCAAACAGGTATTTCAAGTCAGGAGTCTGGATGAAAATAAACATGGGCATCAATGTTTAGAGGTGTAGAGGCATAGTATGGTTTGGCATACTTCCCAAACAAGCAAAATCCTATTTTCTTATGCCTTCACCAGGCTTTACTTTGTGTAAAGAGATCGATCCATTGTTCAATAACTAGGCCTAATGATCACATTTCCTCGATTCTAACTCGTGCTTTTTAATATTACTGCTACTAGTTCTGTTACAGTTTAAAATCAAAGTTTTTCCCCTCCCCCCAATAAAAATTTTTGATTAAATCAATGGTCCATATTGAGAAAATAAATTCACTTACAGGTGACTTTGCCTGCAGGGTGAAAGTTTCCAGCTCTACAGCCTAAAACTTTCCTTACAAAGTGCTTTTTCACGTAATACGCAACCGGTTGTCAGACGTTTGTAGGAGTAACGGGGGGGG